AGTGAATGAATGTGCAACACTGTGTTCATTTTGAGCAGATAAATTTAGAAGTGTCTTTGATGTGAAAGTGTGTTTAGCAAGTCAATATTTGTCTGCTTTGGTCTGTCCCAAGACGTCCTCTGTCTGCGCACCAGACCGTGAAGCTATCAAAAGAAGCCTAGATATCCTCAGTGTTTATCTCCTTTGCTATTCTTTCTGTTCTCTGTGAAGGCTATATAAATATTAACCAGCTGACTTCTCATTTTCTGATAGTAGAGCGTAATCTGCTGTATAGTGTCTGGAAATTCAATGTGCTGCTTATTTCTCTAGCTTTGTGTCTTTGTATACGGTTACAGAAAAAATGTCAAATTTAAGTCTATTAGTGAAAATCTATGCATCTATATACGATATTGCCAAGATATCTCATAAAGTGGCCTTAGTTAATCACATTTTAAAGTGTGATCTTTCTGTTCTTCAAAGCTGTGATGCCTTATTTGCAAACAAATGACTCTTATGAATGGTTTTTCTTAATGATTCAATTTAAACGATTCATTAAACAGACTCCCGATACTGAGTTTGCAACTGACTCCCTCACTGCACTGTGGATAATTTTTCAATTAGGCCTATGTCTAATTGAAAATGGACACAGAACCGTTACCGTGATGTGTACTTCAGATTCGTCAGATTTAACATCAGATTAAATTTTGCCCTTTTTTTTAATATAAAAAAATCATCATATTTAAGAAAATATTATTTATTATTAATGAGGAAAAAAAAATGAACTTAAATGATTTTAGCAAATGGCTGTATATATATACAGTGGGTACGGAACTTTCCGTACCCACTGTATATATATATATATATATATATATTATCATATATAGGGGTGCTCCGATCAGGATTTTTGTGGCCGATCACTGATCGACGATCACAGAAAGCAGTATCTGCTGATACGATCACCGATACCGATATATAAAATGCTTTTTCAGCATTGTAAATCTTTTTTTTTTTTACACAGTACAGTAATAGTCTTTCACAGACATGTTTAAACACAATAAATATAAGCAACACATTATTCAATGCTTTTTATATTTTTTTAAAGATTTATATATTAAGTTGCTCAAGCAAGTGGCAAAACATTTAAACTACTTTTCTTACATTATCATAAACTTACCATTGACAGAAATAGTCAGCTCTACTGCCTTTTCTTTTACATTTAAATCTTTATTACAAGCAATCCTGCGGTTCATAAAGAACTTTGTTTTTCAACCTCCACAAGTGCCATCTATTATTGCCTTGTTTATCTAAAAGTGCTCTTTCCCTTTAAACCTAGCCAAAAAGCCATATGTGTTGACTGAAACATAGTAGACTTTAATAAAATGCATTTATGGTGTAATTACTAAATTTTCGTGTCAATCCATGTTCATATTTACTGCAAGCAATGCGCTGTTACTTTAATTCAGCGCTTGCAGCGCAGCAATAAACTCGGTGTGGAAACGATCTCTGCACTGCTGCAGATGCACCACTCCTGAACATACTGCCGGACCGCAACTGTGTGCAGTGTGAACGCTTTAATCCGGTAACATGAGCACTGAAAAAATATATATATAGACACACACACATATATATATATATATATATATATATATATATATGTATATATTATACACACACACACACACGTTTAAATTTGCTAAGGCAATTTGCCTATTCATGAGCCTTTCAAACAGAAACAAAATTCTTGTTCAGTTATCTATACTTACTACTCTAGTATTTGTCACCTGCAGCTCTTTTCCGAATGCCAACTGAATTTCAAACAATGGCATAGTTGTTTTTTGATTTGTTTTTTGTTCATATACCTATAAATATTCTGTCACTATGGTATATTGTGATAGAACATACAGGGCTTCCAAACAATCACCCATATCGAGCGATTCTGTTATTTGGAAACCAAAAAAGCCATTTGGTTCCCAAATGCTTAATTTGAGGTGCCAGTGGCTCCCTAGTCATTGTTTCAGTCTGGAGCACTGCATCAGCCTGACAGTGCTACACAAATATACTCATCCATGCATCCATGCCTGCGTGCTTGTGTGAACGTGAACGGGGAATCTGGCAGTCTCCCAGCATTTTTGTCTTGGTTGATAAAAAAAATTGCTCTGCCTGCGGTACACATCTAGTCAAGAGAAGGAACACACAGTTCTTGGCTGTCCCTTTCAATTGGCAGTCTCCGTACTGTTCTGTGACTGATAAGAGGATAGTGTAAATAAAACTGTACAGCACAGCTCGTTACCGCTAAAGGAAAAGAGAGAGCACGCTGTCTGTACTCATTGTTCTGATGGCACGGTTTTTCCTTTTTATATGGATTTTTTTGCTTTTTTTTTGGTACTTAGTGTACTGTCTTATATAACGCATTTGTGTAGGCTCACCGAACAGCAAAGGTATGTTTTTGTTTGCGCTGTATTTGTCTACTCATGTTCCCGCTTCCGAGAGACGGGGGGGGGCGTCTGATCAGAGTGTGTGATGAGAATCCACCTTTATAGCATTAGACAATGTGCTTGTTCACAGGTCTTTCCATTACAGCTGTGCTCTAGTATCACACTCTTCAGGGACTCATCAACAAAGGCAGCGTGGCCCCACTGCTGGGTAATCTGACACTGGATGTTTGCCGCAGCTCCCGTAAAGGCTCCGGTTTCACGCACATCATTTTATTCACGCACACGACCCTTGAAAACAAGACAGATCGACGAGGCATCCTCTTTAGAAACAGTAAATCCCAGGGTTTCGGTTGTGCAATACGTTCAGTGGAGGGAAGTGAAAAAGGAACGAGCCCGTGGCACGTGGCACCTCTCCTCCACTTGTTGGGAGCCACGGTTGTGTAAGAACCCATTATGTCAGGTCGGCATCGCTGTGGCAACTCCAAAAGAAAGAGAGAGGAAGTGGGAGTTGCTAGAGCGATTTTTTTTTTTTTTTTTTTTTTTTTTTTTTTTTTTTTCGCCCTTTTTTTTTTTTTTTTTTTTTTTTTTTTGGGGGGGGGGTTTTTTTTTTTACTGGGGTTTTTTT